AACAGTAATCATCTATTATAATGATGTTAATGTTACTCTGTCTGTCAAATAAGTTAACTATGATTTGAAGTCAGAGAGACAATAACTTTGACTTAAATCTAATCAACTTAACACACTGTTTATTAGAGATTTTATTTAATTAACAAGAATAAAATTATAAGTTTTATGTTTGTATGTTAATTACATTAAAAACATGATTACTAGTGCTGTTCAGATGAATAGAGCGATTGTAGTAGTAGCGGCTAGTGATATAAAATATTAAGATTGTTTATTATTGTTATTAAATGTATCTTGAATACAATGTTGGAATCTGTCCTTTTTCCAAGACATTTTCATGTTCTTTATATAGAAAAATTATAATTAAAGAAAATTTATGATAATTATGATACTACTGACAATAATAACAGAGCTAACAGATATGCTAATTATAATATAAATGATAATAATAATAAATAATAGAAATATAATAAATAGTATATGTGTCCTATTTGGCAGATATGACATATTTAGCATATATATTATATTTGACAGGTTCATTAGTTTTTGCCAGTTTTAATTTTCTCCTCTAAAATTTTTAATCTCCAGACTAAATCAATGATATTAGACTAACAATTGTGACTGAATAAAATGTATATATTAAGTGACTTAATAATATGATCTTCATATTTAATATACTTAATCTTTTTCTATATTAAGAAAATTTATTAAAATCTAATATTTAAGTAATCTGCTACGAGAAAATTATTGAGTATAAATCTAAAATTAATTTTTTTTTTTGATCAACTGATTATACTATATAATCTTCATAAATATTACAAGTAATTTCTTTTTAAGAAAATTAACATCTTCATATTTCTTGATTATTTTGCATGCATTTTATCAAACTTTTAAAATTATGCAGCTCACTAAAATTTTCTGAATTTATACTAAATAAATAAATATTGATCAAGGATGTATTATACAAATATTGTATGATCATTGATAAAATGAGTTTGTATTTTTAAAATATTATATAATGATCAATAATATTTTTAGACCAATAATTAATTATTATTTTTATTTTTTTTTTTAGAAGTTATTTTTTTTTGTGATAAAAAAATTCTTTTTACGCATTATTTATCTATAAATATCTTATCAAAAATCCTTCTATTTTTACAAAAATTTTCATTTTGTAAGCAAAAATATTGCAAAATTTTAACCTTATAATATTTTTTAAAATGACTCGCATGAATAAAAAAAGTCTCCTTCTTCTCAATACTGGAATTCTGCTTAATATAAAAAGTTTAGAAGTGAAAAAGTTTTTCAAGGTAAGACGGATAGATTTAAGAATAGTTTGGTCTGAAAGCTTTGATTATATAGGACATGTACTAGCTTATTATAAGCTATTGAATATACATAACCTATGCTACTTTTTAGTAAAGTGTAATGATTTATTTAACTTTATTTAGTTAATTGCAGCAACGACTAACACTTTTGCTTTTTTAATTTTTTCATATTAAAAAGTTCAAAAGGAAGTTCAGATTCAAGAAGATCTTTAAATAAAATTTCGACTTTAGAAAATCAATTATCAACTTTTTTAGATCAAACTGCTAAATTTTTCCTTAAGTATAAATATTTGAAAAAAGATTTGCTTCAGAAAAAAGACAAGAATCAAAAACTTCAAGAGAATTATAGAAAACTTTATGAAGACTTCCAGTTTGTTCGTCGAGAAGAAAATATCAATTTAAAAACTTTAGAGTGACTTTGAAAATATTTTAATTTTATTCAAAATCAACTTGTAGAGAACAGTAATCATTATCAATTCTCAGTGTGTCTTATTCCTTGTAAAGATTAATTAAATTAGATTTTTTTTTTAATAAAGTTACTATATATTTATTTTACAAAAACTTGTCAATGTAATAAAAATAAATGCTATAGTTATATCTATTATTATTTTAAGAGCTGCTATTCACATGGTTAATACTTCTGTTTTTATTCTTGTTCTCTCTTTTCTTTTTTTAGTAGAGTAATACGTCACTCAATTTACTTTTACTTAGAAAAAGCGGTTCATTGCTCAATTTCTTCAAATTTATATATTTTGCTAAATCTGTTAGCAGTCTAAAATTAATTTTGTTTCTCAATTTCTCTTTAACTCAAATTTTATACATCTCGTTAAATCTGTTAGCGATCCCTTATATATAAAATCAATTCTATTTTTCAATTTCTCTTTTTTAATTCAAACTTTTATACACCTTGTTAAATCTGTTAGTGGTCCATTATGTATAAAGTCAATAGTAACTTGACAGGAATCACCACTTGTTAACATTACTCTTTTCGTCAAATAAGTTAACTATAATTTGAAATAAGGGAGACAATAACTTTGACTTAAATCCAATTAACTTGACATGCTATTTATTAAAAAGTTTATTTAGTTAACAAGAATAAAATTATAAGTTTTATGTTTGCAAAATGTTAAGATTATTTATTATTGTTATTAAATGTATCTTGAATACAATATTGGAATCTGTCTTTTTTCCAAAGCATTTTCATATCCTTTATATAGGAAAATTATAATTAAAGAAAATCTATGATAATTATGATATTACTAATAATAATAACAGAGTTAACAGATATGCTAATTATGATATAAATAATAATAAGAATAGAAATAATAGAAATATAATAAATAGTATGTATATCCTATTTAGTATATATATCATATTTGATAGATTCATCAGTTTTTATCAGTTTCAACAAATGATTTATTATAGCATTAATGAAGTTTCTTATAATGAAAACCTAATCAACTAGATCGGCAATTTTGTTATAACAAGATATGACTGTACAGGGTGTGACGTTAATTAGAGATACTATAAATCCAGAATCAGAAATTGCATTTGCTAAATTAGATATATTAAATGAAATTCGTACTTTTGCTAAATAAATGAAACTTTGCAAAGTGATTTATGCAAATATATAACATGTGTATAATAGATATCAAAAGTGTATATAGAAAGATTAGTTTTATATGATGAACCATTTCAGTGCTATGGTACAGCAGATAAACTATGATTGATGAAATTTAATATAAGTAATTTTAGAAAATTACATATATTAACGTTAATACTAAAAATTCATTAATATTTATTCTATTCAACACACTATTTTTAGATAATTTTATTGATTAATTAAACCTTAAAGATTTTAGAAACAACAAGTGATATTTAATCAAAAAAATACAATTACAACAATTTATTAAAACATATTGCAGGTAGCGTCAATATACTTTTTAGATGAGTTAGTTTTATTATTTAAATATTAATTTAATACATTTGTATTAGGATAAATTCTCATTTTTTAAATAGATAAAAAATGTGGGTAATCACTATGTACTGTTTGTTAATCTCCAGATGATATTTTTAATTTATTTGATTGGTTACTGGATCCTATTCCTTTTACGAATCTTTGACAAACAAAATTTTATTAATTGTAGTGGATAAAGATCATTATGCCAACTTTCAAATAGCATATCAGTTAGAAACAACAGAATAATATCATCTAACACTTATGATAAAATAGCAAATAATGAACGTGTACTATCATCCATTTTTACAAATACATGAGTTTGTGAGTTTATTCAATGTTTTCAATGTGGGAAGATACGATGTCTTTACAGTGAGCATGCATTATCAGCAGAAGATAAGATAGCATGCCAAATTGCTATAGATGATTGGGATTACAATTGTGAATCACCATTTGTATCAGAGGATAATATTCTATACAACAAAGTTTTTGTACAAGAAAAAATTAGCTGTGAAATGCTAAAAAAGTAATACTAATAATGGTGATACTTGCTATAGGTGTAGACATAATAATGAATTGGCAGAACCTCTAGAAAGCCTTAAATTGAAATACAAATCCTTGTTTCCATGCTATACATTGTAACAAAATGCAGAAAAGGATATTTTTGTATGTGGTGAAATTAAAACTCATACAAGGGCTACAAAGAAACATAAGATTGGTAACTAAATAAAATTTCGGTAATATTTGTTGAATTGTTAAATATAAAGTTTATTTAAGGATCGTAACTAAGGATAATTATTAAGATTTTATTAATCATTTCATAATTTAATTAATAAATTCCGTAAATAATAACGAGTATCACGTGATTTATTATATGTTTGACTATTGTTCAAATGCGCCCCCCCCCCCGATAAATCACAGACCCCGTTATGTTAAACAAAGTTTAGGTTTGGTGCGGCCTAATCAATGTTTGAAGTTTCTCTCCTCCTTCAGGCAAAAATCGTCCCCCCTTCCTACATTAAATGGTCTGATATTATCAACGGTTTTTTTTTGCCTTTTGCAAGTCTCAAAAACTTTGTTACTTCACACCAGAATTCCTATGATTTCATAGAATTGAAATATTCGTGGAAAAAGGCAAGTCACGTGATACATCCTAGCACAATCTTTATACAATCGCTCTTTTTTTTTTTTATAATAATTGATTTATTTAATTGCATAAAAATTAAAAAATAGCTTATTTTCACCCAACGGAAAGGATGTATTTAATATAACGATATGAAATTGCGAATAAATGATACAAATGATGATGAGAAAAAAGAAATTTACACAGTCACGAACGAATGAATAAAAAATATTTACTAAATGAATATGGATGAATTGAAAGTTGAATAAAAACTATAAATAAATAACGAAAAATTCTAGCTTTATGTGCAAAATGTAAAACGTACGACTTAATAAAATAAAAATGAATGGGGGGGGGGGGTTTTTTTTTTTTACAAAAGCCAGGTTGTCAAACGATAATAAAAATGATGATATCTTTGTATTCTACCCGGAAAAAAAAATATATTCAGATGTTGCCAATTCTAATCTATACAAGCGAAAAAAAATCAAACATAAAAAAAATCATATTAAACAAACGAATAAATAAATCTATAGTTGAATATATACATAGCTAATTCTTGTATTGTCAGTTAACATATTCCTTATTGTCGTATGTTTCATATTCCACTATTTTCGAATCCAAACGCTACATTTGATTCAAATTGATAGTCATGATCAATCCCGTCATATCCAATACATATCGAAGTGGTTGGAATTGTTGCTCTACAATATTTATTATGTCTTTTACTTAATACATGAATCGCCGGTTCGGTATATGGGCTAGCTTTTTTCTTTAAGCCCGAAGATGAGGAAGGAGGGGATCTCATTATTCTTGATTGTGAAGGTGATGATGTCGTAGGGTAATTGTCATTCGTTGCTGTTGAACTATTGTTATAAAATCGCATACGGCTACTATCGTCATCATACATTGATGATTCATCTCTTTCTGACATAAAATTACTATTATTATTTTCGGAAGGAAATGAATCGACTTGATTTTCATTTGTATTCAGAGAAACATACCTTTTTGAATGTTGCGAGTTAGGAGGGCTATTCGGTGAGGTATGAGTTTCTTGATCAATGGAATCAAGTGACATTTGATTTTGGCGAGAATTGGATGACAAGGATTGCGATTTAAAGCCGTTTTGCATGTAATATTTTACAGGTGATGATGGGGAAGGAAGTGATTGAGATCGCGATTGTGAGGAAAAATAATTTGTCGGAGGTGAAACTGGTGATTCCGCGATAGTCATGTGATCAAACGGGGAATGCACATCAAATTCTCCGTCAACGATGGTAGAATTTATGTCAGAGTGTAAATTTGCTGATTGAGATGCCGACATCATCCAGAATGGTTCATTTGCTGACGTGGTTGCTATGTCACTTTGTGAAAGGGAATTTGTTGGAATCATTTGGGTATCAAACGTATTCGCGAACAAAGGTTGGCTTTCATCACTGTTGTTAGTTTGGTGAAGAAAATCAAAATTTGCATTTGATTGTTGAACTTGATTTCTCTTTTCCATTGAAGGTGATGTTTGCAATGACAACATTTGTACGGATTTCATTGGACTAACAGACTTCCCGCTATTGACGTTATTATAAATCATATTATCATCATTATCATCATCAGCATTATTATTATCATGATTTTCATTATCGTTTACAAAAGGCTTTGAATAAGTTTGATTTTGCATCGTAGGACTTATTTTAATAATCCCGATCGAAGAAGAATTGTTTAACCCAAATGAACTTATGATAAGATCTAATCCATCCGGATTAACGATTTGTCCACTCGGGGTTACTCCAAAGATTTCTTCATGACTGAACTTATCTTGGTACTTCTTCAAAATATTTTCGAGCGAGTTAAAAGTTTTTTGCGCCAATTCTTTCATGATATTATTTTGTTTATAATATTGACAAATTCTAATGGTTTTAACGATATTTCTGTATGAATCAATTGCTAAAGCTCGTTGTGGAGATAAGATATTTTTCGAATGAACTTTTGCTGCTTTGCCAAGGCAATAAAACATTGCCGGAAAAGTGACGCATGTTTGCACATTATTTAATGATTCGACTAGGTAAAGATAATGAGATGTTAAAATTTTTTTGGGGGACTTAAAAATCACGAGAATATTTAATCAGTAGTTCAAAGACATACCTCCGATATTAGTTATAATGCTAGCCGCTGAACTGCAAATGTTCATACTTTTGGTAAAAGTCTTGGTCGTTCTAACCTTTTGATCTCCTCCCTTATCACTATACCCTGCTATGTATGGATAATATAATAATAAATGTAAAGTCTGATGATACATGTGTAAACTGGCAATTTGCCCTGGAAGGCTCGAATCCTGCGTTGAAGGAGCATAGTTCAGATATGGTGGTAATTCCCTTACCCAATCCGATAATGAGGATTCAAAAATGTTAATGATAGAATGGTGATTCCACGAGGCTTGTAAGCCTTCACACGAATTTGTTTGCAAATGTTCTAAAATTTGGCCGGTAAGCTTTGTAAGACGAATAAAATTGATGAAGGTATTGATTTGTTGTTTGTACATTGAACTATAAGAAACCGGAGAGGTGGACCTTGAAGCTTGTCGTTGCGAAGCTTCACCTTGTTGGAAATTTTGGGAACTTTCCTCATTATCACTTGGAAAATCTGTATTACCATCATCGAATTCTAATTCATCAAGTGAAGGAAGTTCAATATCACACATCTTATCATTAATTATTAATGGATCGCCAGTCATGAGAGAGGTTAATCTGTCAAGGATGAAACATCCCCACCAAACCAATTTTTTCGTATGACGATTTTTGGCCCCTTTATATGCTGCGCCATTTTTGCGATTTAAGCCGATAGATTGTGCCATCTTAATCGCGGTGGAAGAATACGTTTGGGAACGATATGAGGATGGTTTCCCTTGATGCACCAAACAAAGTAAAACTAACGCTTGGATTGTTGATAATCTAGGAACTTCAATAAAATGATCCAGCAAAACTAAACAAAAACAAAATTTATTATTTAGTTTAGTTTTTGATTCATAAACAAGATTTGTAGAAAACGCAAATAACTTACTTTTTGCTCTCTCATAAAAAAATTGAGAACTATAGTCAACATTCTGTTTCTTGTTAGGCGGATACATTGCACCAATGGTGCAAATAGTTTCAACTAATAATTCTGAAGGCTGATCTTGAACATTGGTGTTATTCAACGATCGAAAGAATTGTACACGATCAACGATAGGAAAATACGGATGAAAATGATTAAAATAATTCTCAAACAAATGTCTGGAAATCTGTTCGGGAATCGGCTTTAATTCAACGATCGAGGTTGGCAATGCCGGTTCTACATAATCGGACGATTCATCTGTATCATCAAGCATTAAGAAGGACAAACGGTTACTCTGCAATGTGTTGGACAAATTTGGATCAACCAAATTATTTAAGAGAATTTCCTCATCTACAATGGTCAGTTCTTCCGTGTAACCCGGAAGATGATTTTGTGACGCATCTGATATCTGAGAATCTGATGGTGGGGTGGAAGGGATAATTAAATGATTCTGTTGAGCCGGTGTCGCATATTGAGGATCTTTAAAATTGGTAGAATTTTTTTGAATAGCCGAAGAAGATTCGGCCGATGTAGAATCTAATCGCTCGCGTTTTGTCAGAGACGAAAGATCGTCTTTATTCACAATTTTAACTAGAAGAGACTCAATCGTATGTAATCTGTCTTCGATCAAGGCAACAAATCCTTTAGGAGGACCCCGGGGTCTTTTCGAAGATGCGTCACTGAATGAGCACTGATAACCTAAAAAAAAAAAAAAAATAAGGGGATCGAATTAGTTTTATTTTTTTTTTTTAGAATTTTTTGTTTTTCTTTTGAATATTTACCTCCACGTTGACAATTGGTGCAGGGTGATGCACCATCGCATTTAACTTTTCTTCTACGGCATGCATCACAAGCAGTAGTGATTTTTACTCGTTTATTCTCGTGTGTATCACCTGATTCATCGACTACCATATTATCTAATACAAACAAACTCATTTTGGATAAATTGTTGTCTTTTCAAGAGGTGTTACAGGAAAGAAGAAAAACAATGTACGAAAATACGTAATAAAAAACTTAAATTTGTAAAAAAAAAAAAAAGGAAAAAAAATTTTTAAGGAATTTTTGGGGGATCTTTTTGTATTTGAAACGATAAAAATGTTAATTGTCACCGAACCAAATTTATGATCATTTTATTGCAATTGTAAATGTCTTTCATTCGGTTTCGATATTATAAATTCGTTATATTCGCTGAACTTTTAAAGTTTTAATTTTAATCCGGTTGAAGAATGTCGCACAAAAAAAAAAATCCCAGATAATAAAGATTGAATAACGAAACCACAACGGGTTTATTTGTAAATTTTTTTTTTTTTTTTAACTTCCTTGAAATAATGTTCCCCCCCTTTATATAAACTAACGGAATGATCGTCATAACATTAATATCATTTATTATTTATGTATTCATGTTTGTACATCAAATAATTATACAAAACTACTGTAAATTAATAATAAATATTTAATATTACAAATTAAATTACGCAGCAAATTTTTTTTTTTTTTTTAAAAAAAATAGTAAAAAGAACGGAGATTCTATATAAATATTTGGGAAGATTGGCAAAATAAAAAGAAACCAATATATATTCATTGAAACTAAAAAAAAAAAAAACGATTTCTGTACTTGTGTAGGAAGAAATTGGATTTCAAATGAGAATCTTTTGTCGTGCATTGCTACACATGGCAAAACCTACATTTTGCATTACTGTGTGTTTAATTGTTCTATATATTTTTGGTTTGAATTATTTTGATAAAATCAAATAATTCTTTTTTTTGTTTCTGAACCTACCCGAGTTATTTTGTAAAAATCAGATATTTCTTAAACGTTGAGAGATAATTTGATCAAATTCGGTAAGTGGAATGAACTTTAACGGCAAAACAAAATGTTCAAATTTTCGTGTGTCATGATCCCGGTTGACATTATAACGACGGACGTGAAGAAATCAATGTGATATTTTCATTTTTTTTTTATATGCGTGATAACTTATTATCTACTGATCTCTTAAACAAATTTAAAATTTCTTTATGTAACAAACAAAGATCAGTTTTTAGAAATTTTCTTTGTTAATTTACACCTCGTGATATCGTGTGTTTATTGAAGGTTCATAAAAATTTTAAAATTAGCAAGATCGGAGATTTTCAGCTATCCCCGTTTTACGATCTGTTTACGCTATTTAGTGATCGCTTTTAAGTTTAGTTTCGGGATTTCGGATTAAATATTAACCCGCGATGCAGTCACTCATTCTTTTCATCATTAACGTGTTCATCGTTGGCCTCTTTCCTTTAAGGATATTCACGATATTCAGGATATAATTAGGATATTTGAAACTGATCAAAGGAATATTATGTTCGACGTGCCAATAGAGAATGCGAGATATCTTGTTCATGGCACCTGCTGTATTCACTTTCGTGACCATTTGAATCAACATTTTTTCACGTGACATTACAAGTTGTTTGTTTCGTGACGTCATTAGTCACAACGCGTATCCAAAATTGGAATAAACCAAAGAATGGAAGACAAACCGGACGATTGCCCGAATTCATTCTTGACACGAATTTCCTCCCCCTTACTTTTTAGAATATTAAATGTGATATAAAATAACTTCTTTATAATGTTTCACGGAGCTTTTTAACAGGTTCATCAAGGTAAATAGTGATTGTTTTAATGTGTAAAATAAAATAAAAAATCGTCCAATATAACTTGACCTATTAAAAATTTTTCAATTGTGTTAAAATTAGGGCGAATTTGGGTGTAACCTTTCCCCGTAACCATTAACTAATTTATTCCCATAAACGGGCATTTGCGAAATCAGAATAAAACGGACGGTTCACGTTACACGATAAAAATTTGACGCATATTACGTAGTCAAAATGTGGTACTATCTCTTTTTGGTTCCAAACTATTCACAATGTTTTTTATTGATGATGCCACATGGATTTTTAAGTTTCCAAAATAAATAAATCAAATTTTTTATGCAACCTTCAAATTTCGTTTAAAAAATTCATCTTTTAAAAAAGAAAATATATCCCCTCTCCCTCATTCTTATAAAGAAAAAAAATATATACATTTACTTTTTTTTAATTCAAACTTTACTAGAATGTTTTGACAAAATTTTCATTCGAAATAAGGAGGAGTCAAATAAATTGTGACAACAAGCTGAATAAATATTTATAGAAAATATTTACTTTACATGATCACCATATATAGATAGATATATCACATAATTCACTTAAATGGTTCGCAAGATGCCATTTATGAAGCCATTCGTGAAACCTTATTTTTAATTCACGTGCATATCAACCCCACAATTAGCAATTCATCTCACATAAGCGAAACGGTAAAAGGAAAAGAGTTTTAAGATCTTTATCGTGAACAAGAAAACTAGACCAATGAATCCGGTCACACGACATGGCACAACAGATCCGTGCAACGGTGTTTACCGTTAAACTTAAGGGCAATGTTTAACAACATTTTAATCCGTTCAGTCCCAAATAAAAAATTGATGATGATCAATAATGAAATATTTATCAATCTATTACATACAGATGAACGCCCGACAAATATTGACGCCCACACCTACAATAAAATTAAAAATATACATAAACTTTGGGGTTCCGAGGGGTGTGTGAAAGTTTTAAATGACCCTGCCAATCAATCAACAAATATCAGGCTTTTTTTTTTTTTTACCATATTTCATCGCGTCACTACCCTTTATTGGTTCAAACTTCAATTCGTAATTTGAAATTTTCCGGTTTATTTTCTTTTTCGCTAAATTTCGATAAAGATATGAAAATTTATTTCCAAAAAGAGAGAACGTGACTTCACATGTCGTCGCGCAAGAAACCATTTTCGCTTGTAGTTCTAACCAAACTAAATTTCCGATTTTCATGCATGCAATCAATTTTTTCAACCCACGAGACCAAACATTAATGATTCTTTTAGTAATGTTCTCCAGATTTCAATGTTAAATGATACACAATATTTATTGTGTGATTACAAAAAAAAAAAAAAATCAATCAACTTTAGATTTAATAACACGAAATTTTTTTGACATGATGTCAATCATGAATCAGGTTAGTTCAAGATTCAATATTTTAAAATGATGGATATCTCGACGGATGATTTTAATGGAAACGCGTATTTCGACTTCCAAAGGACTTTTCTAGGGGACATAAAGCGGTGTTACGGTGTTCAAATTTTAATGATGTCAATATTATTTTCATCTTTGATACTAATTTTTAATTTTTTTTACTAAATCAAAAATTGATTTGCAAATTTTTTTGTATGTGCATTATCTCTATTATCATTACACATGATTGATTGATTGACTTTTTTATATGAAATAAGTTGAATAATTACAAATTCTTTTTCTTAATTTAACGAAAGGCTGAGAAAAAAAATTTTATTAACCAGTCAATATCATCAATTTTTTTTTTTTTTTAAAAAAAAAAAGATCCTCCTTAATTTGACAATTCATACATAGTATACTAAACGGAATCTTGCCGAACTCCAACAAATAGATTATGCAATTTTGATTGTTTCTTTATTAGAACCATGACCTGTTCCTGTAATTGTAAAAAAAAACATTATTTGCTTTATGATACAAAAAAAAAATTGTGTGACCTGATGAACTGATATAAGGTATCAATGAAATTACGGTTTGGTAATAAATCATGTAACCATTGTGATATTTAAATTGCTTTTTTAGAATCAGAAATAGAATACAAGTGTCAAGGGATAAAACAAATAAATTTACTACAACTAGTCAAAACGATCAACCGACTAAATTATATCAGATTATAAAGAATGAACCTTATTATCTGACGTGATTTCTCGTTTATTGTATCTTTCTTTGATGACTAATGTCTTTTTTTACTCCATATTTTTCAAGGAAAGCCCGATTGGTTCTTTCTTTTAAAGTAGATTACTGGCCAAATAACTGGAAAAATTATTTACCGATTTTCTTCCACTAGAGGTGTTCTTAAAAGCTTATTTTATATAACGAAATTTTCGGTATGATCCTCTTCTTACGGAAGTTTTCGAATATCGAATGAGTGCAAAATGTTTTGCCGGATAAAATCCAAAATTTGCCGGTCAAAAATCCGTAACATTATTCTTAATTTTTATCCTATTGGCAACTCATTACTAATAGTTGTAAAAATCATATGTTATGGTGTACTTTATGAGTGATATTAATTTTGCCGGTCCATCATTAGAAAAGAAATATGTAAACAATGAATTTTGTTATAAAATGATTGAGATAGATCATTTATTCAAATAAAATGAAATCTGAATTTGAATTTAAAAACACATTTTGTATAATGATTTATATATCTTGTTAAAAAATGTCAAGATTCAACAGCTTTTTAATTTGATATTCCTTTATGGTGCAGTAATTGCCATGTGGGGCATGTGGGGCATGTTTTCCTTTCCTATATTTGACTTGCAGAGCTCTAACTTTATAAATAATGAAACCCGCAAAATTCAACTATCGACCGATTCTCTCATGTGAAAATTTGCATCATAATTTTAGTCCATTAACAATTATCATTTTTAGCCGGGAAATTTAAATTGTCAATCGCCCGAGAGAATTGTGATTAAATTGGCGCAGTATACTCCGATTTTATTATTATTATTATTATTTACAGAGTTGGAATCAGTTGTCAGACCTTAGACTTCGACTCCATAGGGTAATCACGGAGAGAAAGAATTCAATCGAAATATATATATATATATATATATATATGTAAATCTCAAATTATTGAAAGGCAGAGAGAGAAAAAGAAGCCTAATATGCACGTAACGAAATAATATTTATTGATTAAGTACATGAAATCGTCCAGATCATCTCATTTTGATATGCATAATGATGTAACCTTTGTTAATCATTATATTAAAAAAAAAAAACTTTTTTTTTTTTTTGTAACATTAATTTTTCTTTTGA